CATTCATGAGTGAAGGTCAAAAAGTAGTTTTTTGTTTATCCAGACTGTATATACATAGACAATTGTGATTGGTTAAGACTCATAATTATATGCAATAAGAACAAAATGATATTATTAAGAATACACCATAATTCATTAGAAACACAAATTAATCAAATAGTTTGCTTAATTTGACACTAAAAAATAAGAAAATCCATCTTTAAGCTATGTGAACTTAAGTTCCATACCAAGTTGCAAAGTGTGATCAGGATGAGAATTCAGTGTGAAAGGGAATACGAAATTCCTCACCTGCCTGTATGCTAATCAATTCGGACTCGTTGTACAGTTGGTGCTTATAATTTAATGCTCAAACAGATGCTGATTTTTATAGCTGAAGTAGTTACTGATTTTTTAAGTTCTGAAACGGTTAGGCTTGAATCAATAATTGTCAAATCAGTCCGGCCCAAGACTTAAACAGGGCATCGTTTTGTTGAAACATTGCTGATGAAATTTGCTGGTGTCTTGGGGATCGTTGTACGTTTTGCTTCGTTACCATTTTGGTTTGATTCAATTTCAGATTAGAAAGGGTAAATCGTCTGATAATTTACCTACCCACTACAGCACTGCCACAATAGGAGTGTTCTGGGGTCATGGCCTATATGACCCGACAGATCCTCCTATTCACAGATGAAGAACAGATGAAGCGGCGATGAAGGACAGATGAAGAACAGATGAAGAAGTAGGGCGATTACTCCGCCCATTTTTGGTAAGTTGATCTTGAAATTTTTTAGTAGACAGACTGCTGCTCATTTAGTTTGAGTTTTGGAATCTTGGCGTCATTTGATTTCCATCTAACAAATGATACTAAATGGGTTCTAATTTGTATTGGAATGGACATGCCTCAGTTTCTCCACCCACTTTGAATAAGTTGATCTTAGGCTTACTCAACATTCCGAGGACAAACTGTAGCTCCATCAGCAACAAATTATAATTGACATTTCGTACAGATGGAAATTCCTGAAACCATATTTGTAGGAAGATCTCAATTTTGAAACTTTTTGAGGACTTTACTTCACTCATTAGATGACCAAGGACCAGCATGTTGACAAGATCTTCTTG